CATAGCAAGACCCCGTCTCTAAATAAAACACAAAAAATCAGCCACGCTTGCTATTGTGAGCCTGTAGTCCCAGGTACTCGGGAGGCCGAGGCAGGAGGATCGCTTGAGCCCAGGAGTTGGAGGTTGCTGTGAGCGAGGCTGACGCCACGGCACTCTAGCCCGGGCGACAGAGCGAGACTCTGTCCCAAAAATAATAAAAATAAAAAAATACAACCACGGTTGCCAGCTAACCTCCTGTTACCAGCTAACTTACCAGTTACGACTCCACACTGGTTATCTGCCTCACCTGCCAACGCCTCGGAAACCAGCGGTGGCTGGGGAGAGCGAGCCGGTCGTTAAACCATCGGCACCGTGACCCGGGCACGTGCTACAAACACCCCCCCCGGCTACCTCCCTCCCAGACCTGGGCTCGTCGTGGGCAGGAAGGCCCGGGCCGGCCCGGAGCCTCCACGCGGCCCCGCGGGACGCAGGGCAGGGACAGAAGCTCCACTCACCTTCCCCGTGGACCTGACGCCCTTCCAGATGCAGAAGAAGCAGATCACCCAGACCAGAAGCAGGCAGAGCGCGAGGTCCCACTTCAGCGCGCCCGGGTGGTCGATGCCGGGGGACAGGCTCAGGACGTTGCGCCTTCGGGCAAACACAGAGCGAGACGTCAGGGGGGGGCGCCGCGCCCCGGGCAGGGGGGGCCGAGGCCTGGGCTCCGACAGCCCCGGGTTCGAATCCCGCCTCAGCCGCTGCGTCGGCACCGGCCGTCTTGCCTTCCCGATCGTCTGGGGACAGAGTTATCGGGAAGTCGGGAAGGGAATGAATTCAGTCCGGCAAACCCGGGTTCAACTGAGCCTGGCCTCAGCCAAGTTAGCCTCAGTTTCCTCATCTGTAAAATGGGTACGGAGTCCCCGTCGGGGCCTCAGCGGAGCCCTCCTCTGTGCCCACCGTGGGCCAAACGCTGGCTTCAGATCTCAGCCCCACTGTGGATACAACTGCTGACTCCGGGCAAGTCACCAGACTCTCCCGGACCTCAGTCTCCTCATCTGTACAACGGGGCGACTGCTCTCCCCCAGCACGGTCTGTTCCGTGCCTCCTTCATTTTATCCACCCTCGCGCGCTGCTGTCCGCGTCTCTCAGTGAAACGTGGGCCCCGCCGGGCCCGACACGCAGAGTCCGGGCCGCAGCGAGCCCCGGACGAACCTCGGCGGCCGCGGCTTTCGTGGCATTCAGATAGATGCCCGCGGAAGCTTCCGGCACACAGCTGGTGCTTAAGCAGTGCTGGCTTCCTCCTCTACCCCCCGCTACCCATCTCGGAGGAGGGAGGTGGTTGGTTTCGAGCGCTACCGGGACGGGACAGCCACCAGGCGTGCCCGGGGCCACAGGGTGGGGCCGGCGTGTCTGGAATCGAAACTCGAGCTCCCGCCGGCCCTGCCGTCCCGTCTCCGGGCTGCTGGCCGCGCGGACGGGCCCGGGAGCATCGGGGCTCCCTTCCAGCGGGAGCCGCTCCGTGTCCAAAGGCCTCTCCCAAGCAGGAGGGGCAGGGGCTGACGTGTGACCCTGTGCCTCAGTTTCCTCTTTTGTGAAACGAGAATAACAGCTGTTGCCCAGCACGCTGCTCCGGAAAGCTCTCCAGAACGAGGCCTCCCTCTCGTTCCCGGCACCTGGAACAGCGCCGGGCACGTAGTAGCGGCTCAATAAAAACCTGCTAAATGAACGAACGGACCAAGGGACCCCGCTGGGGTGCTGGTGAGTTCTCACGCCACTCCGGACCAATCCATGAGATAAATCCTCCGCCCACACGTCCTAAGAAGGGCACTTCCCTCTGTCCTTTCCTCGCTGGTCTCGGTGACCCCGGTGGCCCCCCCCGGACGTCACCAGATAACACCGACGACCGAACAAAAGCCCCCAGTGACCCCGGGGCGCCTGCCAAGCCCTTTCCACTTTCCCTCACCGGAGCCAGGGAGCAGGGACCGTTCAACCCATTCTACAGATGGGAAAACCGAGGCCTCGAAGGTCCACTTGACCACGTCACGAAGCCAGCGGGCGACAGGCGGAGCTGCCGCCCCAGACGCGGGCCTGTCAGGCTCCGAAGCCCGCGCTCTCTCCGCCCCTCTACGCCGCGGGTCTGATTCTAAGAGAAACCGAGTCACGCACTTGCTTCTCCGCTGCTGGCGCAGTCGTTTGCAGGGTGTCGGGGCGGCATCCGGCGACGCTTCCCTCGACCCGGCAAACGCGTCCCTGAGACGGTCTCCCCATCGCCGCCCTCGCACGCACGGCCCCAGACACGGCGCCCGCCGCAAGCAGCGGCGTCTACAAAAGGCTCCCGCTGGGCCGCGCAGACGTCCCGGGACGAAATCCATGTTCCGTCCAGCCGTCGGGTCGGAGCAACAGACGTTCTTCCCAAAGACGTCTCCGGGGCAGTCGCCGCGGCTACAGAGCAGCCGGGTCAGCTCAGCAGGCCCCTCCGTGTCCGAGCCCTGGGCCATCCCCAGCCACAGAGCAGCCGACCAGGCCCCAACAAACTGTAGAGCGCTGCGCCCCGAGGATCCCACAAACTGTAGAGCGCCGTGCCCCGAAGACCCAACAAACTGTAGTGTGCCGCGCCCCGAGGACCCTATAAACTGTAGAGTTCCGTGCCCGAGGACCCAACAAACTGTAGAGCGCTGTGCCCTGAGGACCCAACAAACTGTAGAGAGCTGTGCCTGAGGACCCAACAAACTGTAGAGTGCTGCGCCCAGAAGACCCAACAAACTGTAGAGTGCGGTGCCCCAAGGACCCAACAAACTGTAGAGTGCCGTACCCGAGGACCCAACAAACTGTAGAGTGCTGTGCCCTGAGGACCCAACAAACTGTAGAGTGCAACGCCCCGAGGACCCAACAAACTGTAGAGTGCTGCTCCCCGAGGACCCAACAAACTGTAGAGTACCGTACCCGAGGACCCTATAAACTGTACAGTCCTGTGCCCGAGGACCCAACAAACTGTAGAGTGCCGTACCCGAGGACCCAACAAACTGTAGAGTGCTGTGCCCGAGGACCCAACAAACTGTAGAGTGCCGCACCCCGAGGACCCAACAAACTGTAGAGTGCCGCTCCCCGAGGACCCAACAAACTGTAGAGAGCTGCGCCCCGAGGACCCAACAAACTGTAGAGAGCTGCGCCCCGAGGACCCAACAAACTGTAGAGTGCTGTGCCCCGAGGCAACGCCGCCCCAGGAGGAGGGTGCCGCCTGTTCCACGCCCGCTCACCCCTTCCCTGACGGTCTCCGTGCGAGGCCCTCCTCCTCGGAGCAGCCACCCCCGGCCACTCTCCGTAAAAAGCATCCCTGGTGGCCCCCCTGGCCCTGCCCGTCACCGACGCTGGAACGTCAGCCCCCAGGGGGCAGAGTCTGTGTCCGTCTTGATCACCCGACGGTGCCCGGCACGCGGTCGGGGCTCACTCTGCGTGAGCTGTGGAAATCGATGATACCCATTCGGTTGATGGGGAAACTGAGGTTCGCACAGGGTCAGGAATTCCCCTGAAATCATCCCGACGGAAATCAATCCTGGGCCTTGTTCCTTCTGCTCTGACGCCACGCTGGGGACCAGCCACCCCCGGGTGTGGGCGTCCCTGCCTCTCCTGCGCGGAGGGAGGGGATCAGGGTGAGCCACCTTCGCGTCCAAGAACAAACGCTCCGCTCCAGGGCGGAATCCGGAAAAGAATGGCCCGAACGTCTGTTCGGAGGCGGCCGCCCGGCCGCCGTCCCGCCGGCACTCAGAGAAGCAAATGCGTCCTCCGTGCCGGCCAAATCGTTTCCTCTTGACCGCGGGCCAGCCATTTATTGGCCGCGGCTCCCCCGGGAGACCGGCGGGGCCAACGGTGATAACAGGTCTCGTCCGTCCAGAGCGCGGGGCCGCCGCGGCCTCCCTCCCCGGCCTCCTCCTTCCGACAGCTGCGGGCCAAGGTCGGCTGAGCCCGGCTTGTTTGCAAAGGTGACTCATTTCTTTGATTCTAATCAAGTCTGACCCTACGTGCCGAGCTCCCCGGGGGGCCCGGGGAGGAAGGCTCGGCTCCGGCCCGCCCGTGCCCCGGGGCCTGGGGGCAGCGGGAGACCTGGGGACAGAGGTGACCCCGAGAGTAAGTCGTTACCGGGAGCAGAGGCTCCGCTTCCCCGTCACAGAGCAGAGACAAGCCGGCACGAAATATCAGTCTCTGGCCCCAGCCGCTTCCCACGGCGACCTCGAAAAGGACGTCTCAGCGGCTCCTGGTGACGCTGGTGACTCAGCGTTGCAGACGGGGCGGGCGTCGGGGGTCCAGGCTGAGAACGGACCCCCAGAGTGACCCCAGTGCGGGAGACGCACACACACGCGGCACAGTGTGACCGGGGACCGCACTTGGGCTCCCAGGCCCGGCCCGGGCTTCTGGCCGGTGGCCGGCGGGGACACACACCAAAGATCAGCGGGACGGGGTCCGGCGTCGACGTCGGGGCTGGGATCTTCGCTACTCCCAGCTGCGCAGGGGACCTTGGGCAAGTCCCAGCAGGTCTCTGGGCCTCAGTGTGCGGAGGCCCGGCCTTCTCCTGGCTTCTTAACACTCAAGCCGGGCTTGCGGGGTGCCAGGACCACGCTGTCTGCGGGGTTTGCAGAGCCGAGGTGACCGCCCCGAGGTCCTGCCGCTGGGACACGCGGGAGCTGGACTGGGCTGTGCGTCCTCCCGCAAGGGAAGGGAAACGTCACCCAGAAGAGGAGTCTGTGGCCCCAGAGGACCTAGTTATCTGTCTGCAGGGCAGCTCCTGAGAGCCTGCCCGGCAACATCTGCGGCGGGACGGGCAGGCCGGGAGCGGAAGGGAAGAACGGCCAGGGCTGGGCTCCGGCTCCAGGGCGTCCAGACCGGCCTTTGGGGATATCCTCAGTCCTGCGGCCCAGCACCGCCAGGGTCACCTCCCGACGAGCCTCTCTTGCTGCAGGTCGGTGGCCGTCTCCAGGGGCATTCGCGGAACTTGCGCCCCAAGGGGAGCCCAGATCTGCTGAGCCCTCTGCAGCCCTGTATACAGTCGGTGCTCAATATACATCCAGATACACATCTCTTTCCTACCGGTGCGTTCCCTAAGGACTGCCCGGAAAACACAGCTTCAACCACGTCACTCCCCTTCTCTAAACCTTCCACGGTTTCTCCTCCCAGAGAGCGACGCTCCAACTCACCACCGACCATCCGAGGCTTCAACCTGTCTCCGTGACCCCACCTCCCGTCACCGGCTCGTGCGTCCCGTGGTCTGGCCAGACCAACCACTCGCTGCTCCCAAACTCTCAAACTCTCACCGGCTTTCAGAGCGCCGTGCGTCTGCATGGGCTGTTCCTTCTGCTCGGAATGTCTTCTCTCTCTCCTTTTCTGCCTAGCGAGCTCCTACTCATCCCTCAAAGCCCGGCGCGTATGGTCCCTCCACTTGCAGCCAGGCCAGAGAGGGGTAGTGACTTGCTGCTCTGGGCTGCACAGCCAGGCCAAGGAAGAGTCGGCACTCGGTGGGCCGAGACAGTCTCTGGTGTCCAGGAGAGTGAGGACAAGGGGGGGTGCCCTGGGGGAGGGAGAGTCCGCGGGGAGGTTCTGGATATACTTTGAAGGGGGCAGCCTTCTCTTGGACCTGTGCATTGAATTTGGGGTAGAAAGAGGAGTTTTGGATGATGCCTGGACATTTTCCCCGCTCGAAAAGCCTCCGCAGAGATGAGATGAAAGAATAGGGTCAAGTCCCAGCTCTGTGCGCACAGGGTCTGGCTCTTTCCTTCCCAGTGTTTCGTGCTGACAAGAGGGAAGGTTCCTGAAGGCAGGAGGCCAGGTCTTTCCCCGCCGCGGTGCCCGGCCCCGTCCTCCGGCCTCAGCCTCCCTTCCCACCGGTCTCCCACAGACCCCACTGCTGCCTGGGGCTCTGGAATGAGGGAAAGTTATTTTATTTTATTTTATTTTTTTGAGACAGACAGAGTCTCACTCTCTTGCCTGGGGCGAGTGCCGTGGCGTCAGCCTCGCTCACAGCAACCTCAAACTCCTGGGCTCAAGCCATCCTCCTCCCTCAGCCTCCCGAGTAGCTGAGACCACAGACATGCGCCACCATGCCCGGCTAATTTTTTCTACATATATTTTTAGCTGTCCAATTAATTTCTTTCCATTTTTTGGTAGAGACGGGGTCTCGCTCTTGCTCAGGCTGGTCTCGAAC